GTCTCCGAAATGACCCAGGCATTTGTCGAGTTGCAGGTAAAGGAGCAGTGGAATGTCACAAGAGGACTATGCCGACCCCATCACGAATGACGGATCCGGATTCCACTCGATCATACCCGTTAGCGAGCTCACCGAGCGCGTCACTCGAGCCTGAGTGATCGTGGCAAGCGACAAAACTCAGCCCCTCCGGTTGTGAGAAACCAAGGACGGGGTAACGCACAAAACTCAAACCGACCCCTACCAAGCCCAATGGGGCTCGGGGGCTCAAGACACTAAAAAATGCCTGGGTCTATGACCCCGAACTCACCCCATCCTTCGGCTCTACCTCGACTGCACACCAAACGCCTGGGTCTACGACCCCAAACTCACCCCATCAGGATCCACGACTCCGACTCGCCCGATCCCACGGCGCGCACCGACGCCAGGATCCACGAGCTCCATCTCGCCCGATCCCTAAACTAACTAACTAACTGCCTCGGCTGCATGGGCTACACCGACGCCAAGATCCACGACTCCGACTCGCCCGATCCCACGGCGCGCATCGACGCCAGGATCTGTGAACTCTGTCTTGTCCGATACCTAAACTAACGGCCTCGGCTGCACAGGCCGCATCGACGCTAGGATCCACGACTCCGACTCGCCCGATCCCACGGCGTGCACCGGCGCCAAGATCTACGAGCTCCATCTTGTTCGATCCCTAAACTAATGGCCTCGACTGCATAGGCCGCAACAACGCCAGGATCCACGACTCTGACTCCCCAATCCCACGGCACGTACCGACGCTAGGATCCGTGAGCTCCGTCCAATCCCTAAAACTAACTGCCTCAGCTGCGCGGGCTACACCGACGCCAGGATCCACGACACCAACTCGCCCGATCCCACGGCGCGCACTGACGCCAGGATCCATGAGCTCTGTCTTGTTCGATCCTTAAACTAACGACCTCGGCTATGCAGGCCGCAGCAACGCTAGGATCCACGACTCTGACTCGCCTGATCCCACGGCGCGCACCGACACCAGGATCCACGAGCTCTATCTGATCCCTAAAACGAACCACCTCGGCTGCGCAACGACGCCTTGGTTGATGACTCTATCTTGACTAAAAAACACGCACACACGCCCGCTGACAGAACCCCCAAACGATTCGGCCCGAATCGCCCGGGGGCTCGGGGACTACACCCGCGGGTGCGCTCGCGTGCACCCGCTGACAAAACAAAAACTTCCCCCGCTGGCAACATGAAAAAAAACCCAGACGAATCTGTCCAAATCGCCCGGGGGCTCGGGGGCTCCTGTCGGGTTTATAAACCCAGGGTACCTCATGGACCGGCTTCCCAACAAAGGCTCGGCCCAACAGACAACATTGCGAGCAACGCACAACTCATGGGTCAGCCCAAATACCTAGATGATAGGCCAAAAAGACGATCCAATCTCTAACCGAAAGGCCTAGCCAAGGAGGAACGACGCCCGCTTCCGACTCTGGCCCACCTCTCCGACCGGAGCCATCGCTTTGGTCTCCAGCCCGCCTCCGGACAGACTCTCCGACCGGAAGGCCTGGCCAAACATCACTTCCGACTCGACCCGCGTCTCCGATCGGGGATACGCCAAACCCCTGCTTACAAGCTCCTTTCCAACTGGCGCAGTCAGTGCCGACTGGGGCCAACCGACTGGGGACGCCCGCTCGGTAAGGACCAGGAAACGGACGGAGAAGGTAAGGCAAGGCGCACAAGTCAAACCGCAATACCAGGGACCATACCCTGTGCACCTGCTAGGCAGTACCCTGTGATCCTCCTGGCATGACAGAACCCAAGCAGTGTTGTAGGTGCCGACATTTTCCCAATAGTATTGTGGGCGCCGTCAACTCCCATATTAGACAAATACGGCAAGGCTCCTCCACGTGCCTCTGAGGCATCGACAGTGTTGTGGGCGCCGATATTTACCGTAGCTGGCAAACGCGGTAAAACCCCTCACATGCCTCTAGGCATCAACAGTATAGCAGGTACCGACATCTGCCATACCTGAAGAAAACGACGCAACCTCCCACGTGTATATGACATTCCATAGTATTGTGGGCGCCTACCATCGTCTTGTACCCAACGGCGTGGGCAGCAAGACTTAGCAGCGAACGTACTCCCTCCCTCTCGCTTGTAAAGCCATCCCCTTCATCTATAAAAGGGAAGGCACTCTCTTCCAACATAGAGGTTGATTCATTCAGATTTCATTTGGATCGTTCAGTCCACTAGTCCACCACAGCAGAACCTCCAGGTTTAAACCATGAGCACACACTCAAACGCTTAGCGCATAGCGGGGCTCCCGTCACTCTTGGCTCCTCTGACCAGAGTCCGACCGAACCTCTTGTACCCCATCTTTCTCCTCGTTTGTAACCCCACTGTAAACTTCGAGCACATGAGCTTAGGAATAAAGTCACCGACCAACTCAAACTGGACGTAGGGCATGTTGCCTGAACCAGTATAAACCCTATGTCATTGAGTGCTAGGCCACCTCTGATCACAACGTACGGCAAAACTACAAATATTTACGTGTTGGTCACTTTCTGCACCGACACATTGACATAGGAAAGACAATCTCAGGCCAATGCTGACATAGCTGAAGACAAAGATGAAGACTATGCTCCAGGGATAGACTTTGAATCTGAGACTGATTATGAATCCAACTCTGACGTGGATTATGAGATAGATGAGATAGCTAAAGATAGTTGCCACCTCACACCCCTAAAAGTAGTGTAAGACAAAATGACCCTCCCAGAGGATGCAACTTTTTGCATTGGAACCTTTGTTGATGGTTTCTTTAGAGGATGCACACCTTATTTGCCTGTAAATAATACATTTTTAACTAAAAAGTTTAGAGGTCAATTGTGTGTTGCTTGTGCATAAGATGGGCACAACTTGATATCCAATTGCTCTAGGTGACTAGGTATTATTAGACTTGAGCAAATTGAGCCTGGCCCGAGCCCGATGGGTTTTAGCTGCCCACGAACCTTACTGGACAGAGCCTGGGCATAGATCCCGCTGCCTAGAAATTTTTTTTGGCCCGAGCCCGGCACGAAATACTTTTTATTTGCTATTTTACACCACAAAATACGTGGGTGGCCTGCCCTGGCCCAGGCCTAGCCCAAAAAAATAGGCCCGACTTGCCTACTGGGACAGTCATGAGCGAGACTTTTTTTGGCCCAAAATAACCGGGCTTTTTTTAGGCCCAGACCGAACTCGGTCCCGCCCACAAAATGCTTTGTTCTAGGTGTTATTGGTGCAGAGACCAATGCGAATTAGCAATGGTTTATAGAAAGACTTAAAGAAGCAGTAACTTCCTCACCTGGTGTACCATTCTGCACAAATTATACAAGATCTCACTGAATTCTACAATTTTTATATAAATTTTATCTCCATCTAAGTTAATATATAACGCTACACATAGTGGTGATTGAATTCGATTGAGTTTGTGAGATTAACTCTCTCCATAGCGATGTGACATTTCTAGATTTTTTTTAACAATCATCATATCAAAAAATAAATATAAAAAAAGAACTCGTAATTATGGAGAAAAGGGGTACTCCGATGATCCGCTTGCATTCCTGACGCAGTGACGCCGATACCGAAGCTGCCCAAGATAAAGACGGGTCAGGAAATAAACTTGGGCCGAGAGGTCGTCGGGCCGTATGGGTAGGGTTGGTGCAGCACGCCAGCAACACTTACCCGCGGACCGGCAACCACAACCACATGGACTGGGCTGTCTTTTACGGCCCGTGAATCCCGTGGTCAAAATCGAACGGTATCCCGTATCTGGATCCCGGCACACGGTCCACGCCTTCACGGCGGCGCCAGATGGTCCCCGTCCGCCCTCTGTACGGTCCGTCCAGTTACCGCTGCCGGCCCGGCCGCACCAGCCACGGACGGCGTGACCATGGCCGAGGATGAGGCGGGGCCACGTCTGTCCCGTACTACGCCCTACTGTGAAAGTGTGAAACTGTGAATCATGAGTGTTTCAGTACGGTCCGGTCAAAGCAACGGAGCTTTGAAGGCACTGTCACTGGCTGTCTCACTGACAGCCTTGTCTCTCCCGGCGGGCGATTATCCTACTCACGACCTCAGAGGTGAGAGGCCTTTCCCCCGTGACTGATTAACAACGGAGGAGTGAGGACATCATCCGGACTAGGATCTCCAAAGAGGCAACGCCAATGCGTCGTCTTTGGCAAGGAATGGTGGAGGCGCCATTGTTGGACGGCGGCACAGGCGCTGGAGCTCCGCCGTAGGCAAAGGAAGCGGCGGCAGCGTACGTTACGTTACGTACATGGGGTCAGCGGATCAAGAGACGTCAGAGGCGATACGCATCATCAGCTCGCCGCGCTGCGGTTGCTGCTGCTAGTCCCTTCCACCGAGGTCATCAAATCTTCATGTGAGTACACGCTACGAGTACACTGCGGCGCCGCATAAAGTGCCGCTGTATTGCTGGACGCTTTCTCGGTTGGCTGGTTTCGTGTGACTGGCTGCTGAAGAAGTTTGGCCAGCTTGATGTTTTCTAAGGGGGTTTAGTTCCTCCAAATTCCAGAATTTGACACTATATAAAAAGAAGATTCTCCGTCACATCAAATTTGCGGTACATGCATGGAGTACTAAATGTTGACGAAATCAAAAACTAATTGCACAGTTTGGTTGTACTTTGAGAGACGAACGTTTTGAGCCTAATTAGTCATCGTTTGGACAATTATTACCCAATACAAACGGAATGTTACAGTGATTAGTCATCGTTTCAGTGCCAGCCAAACGAAAAGGCCAGGACGGTGGCATAGCCGCCGTAAGCTCGCCGTCGCAAATCCCAAGGCACGTGCCCGGCACCGCTGCGCCCGCGCACCGGCCCTACCTACTAGTAGTACTAGTACACTCACCTCGCTCACGCGCAGCACCCTCTCGTCTGGCTCACCAAAAGCCGAGCCGGGCAGAGACCCCAGGCTCCTCCAGGGAGAGCAGAGAGGCCACACCCACCCACCATGGCCGTGCCAGTAGAATCTAGCCAATCCAGTTGCAATAAAGTAAGGTTACCGTACCACTACCACCCTCGTGAGCTCTCCCGGGCCCGCGAGGGAGAAAGCTCAAAGCAGCTCGCACGCCATGCCATGACACAACACTCTACTCGTACTCTACTACAGCGCGCCAGCAGGCAGCACACAGCAGCCTCCTCTCCCCCTCTCGGCAGTCGCCTCCCTGGCTCCCTCCCTCGCTCCCCTAGTCAATACTGTACTGTGCAGTACGCCACCCACCACCTCTCCATTAAAGAAAAGGAGAGGCAAGGCAGGTTGCGGGAGGAGACGGGGCTGAGCATGACGTCGGGAGCAGCCGCGGCGGCGGCGGCGGGGAGCGCTGGGGCGGACGCCGACGTGGAAGGAGCGGGAGAACAACAAGCACCGGGAGCGCCGGCGGAGGGCCATCGCCGCCAAGATCTTCACGGGCCTCCGCGCGCTCGGCACCTACAAGCTGCCCAAGCACTGCGACAACAACGAGGTGCTCAAGGCGCTCTGCCGCGAGGCGGGCTGGGTCGTCGAGGACGACGGCACCACCTACCGAAAGGTGAGGGAGGGAGCTTTATTTCGGCAACGCTTTTTACTTCGTTCCTGGTCCCCGATCTCTCTCCCGTTCGTCCCTGGATCTCGCTGGGTGCTTTGTCCGCGCCCGCGCGCGCGCGCAGATCCGGCGGTCGACGGAGCTAGCTTTGGATGAGCCCAACTAAGCTTACCGTGCGTTTCTTGGGTCGGTCTTGGCAGGGATGCAAGCCGCCGCCGGGGATGATGAGCCCGTGCTCGTCCTCGCAGCTGCTGAGCGCGCCGTCGTCGAGCTTCCCGAGCCCGGTGCCGTCCTACCACGCCAGCCCGGCGTCATCCAGCTTCCCGAGCCCGACGCGCCTCGACCACAGCAGCGGCAGCAACCACCACCACAACCCGGGCCCCGGCGCCGCCACCGCCACCGCCGCCGCAGCCGCGGCCGCCTCCTCCCTGCTCCCGTTCCTCCGGGGCCTGCCGAACCTGCCGCCGCTCCGCGTCTCCAGCAGCGCGCCCGTCACGCCGCCGCTCTCCTCGCCCACGGCGGCGTCGCGGCCGCCCACCAAGGTCCGCAAGCCCGACTGGGACAACACCGTCGCCGACCCGTTCCGCCACCCCTTCTTCGCGGTCTCCGCCCCCGCCAGCCCCACCCGCGTCCGCCGGAGCGAGCACCCGGACACCATCCCCGAGTGCGACGAGTCCGACGTCTGCTCCACCGTCGACTCCGGCCGGTGGATCAGCTTCCAGGTGGGCGCGGCGACCACGGCGCCCGCGTCGCCCACCTACAACCTCGTCAACCCGGCCGGGGGCGCGTCCGCCTCCAACTCCATGGAGCGGGACGGGATGGCGGCCGCGGACATCGGCGGCAGGGGCGGCGGCCCCGCGGAGTTCGCGTTCGACAAGGGACGTGTCACGCCGTGGGAAGGCGAGCGGATCCACGAGGTCGCCGCCGAGGAGCTCGAGCTCACGCTCGGCGTCGGCGCCAAGTGAAGCGAAGCGTCGTCGCGCTCGCAAGCAAGCTCGGGTCTTTGAGCTCCCGTACTGCAATGCCGTGAGCTTCGAATTATCGAGTAGTGCTCCTAGCTGATCGCGAAAGAAAAAAGGTTGCTGTGAGATCGACTGCAAAAATGTGTAGTACGTAGCCGCACGAGGAATTGTCGACGCATTCGTGCTGCGATTGGATCGGTGTAGGTGTAGGTGATGCTGTTGTTTCATTCATGGACTGGGAAATTGAGGTGAATCAGAACAATCGTTTGTTCGTTCGTCCAATCGTCCGTCTGGATTGAATTATTGATCACAGACTGATTGTATGGTGACTCTTTGGATGTACTGTACTCTCGTAGTAGCTCGTTCTTTGCACTTTTTACTGTTTGTTCTGTGTAACGCCTCAAAATGCGTGACCTCGTGGGTAAAAAGAGATGAGGGAGATGGGATGGGCTGAACTTTGTGACTCGATCTCGTCTCTCTTGGGCGTGGCTGTACTATAACCCGTGGTTTTATTTGATTTTTTACTCGTGGTGTTATTTGGTTTTTTTTACAGTTTACTATTGTAGTGGGAGTATCTTCCTTTTTTTATGATGTGGGGTATCTTCTCTGGGAATGTGACCTACTCCTAGGCCACCGCCTACAGACTGTACGTACAGACTGTCCACAGTCCACTAGTATTTCACCAGTTTTGCCGACGCCTCGACAGCATGTCTGCAAAATGCAAACACTCACGCCTGAGATTTCTGACGGGAGACCAATGTTTTTATCTTTCGTGCACATCGGCCTTTCGCTTCTTTTATCATCTGTCTTTTTTTTCGGCTCAATTTTTTAGTTAGAATAATATTTTTCTCTCACAACACAGCAAATTAGTTGGAACAGTGTTTTAATTTATTTTTTCAACGAAACGAACAGGCCCACTATCAGATCAGATGCCATTATGCCAAATGGCTGGGATTGCTCGCACAAACCACAAAGACAATCTATTTCCAGCGACAGACGAACGGAACTCAATCAGTCGGTAGGGTAGCTACCGGGCGGTTTCCTGTAGATGTTGTTGCCTCCGCACCAAACCAATCATCCGTTCGCGCCCCGCGCGCAGCCGCGCAAGCACCTACACGAAAACCGGAAGCATCAACACAGGTTCCATCCAGCTGCAAAATCATTGGGAGCACGAGGAGCTGGGTGCTGCTCGGCCGTATCTTTCCACAGCCTCCGATCTCTCGCTCGTCGCTGGCACGGGTATGCTATTATTCTGGAGCACGGTGCAGCGCATCTTGTAGCACGTTCAACTGGCTGAAAAAAACGGCTAATACTTATTTATTATGAAAGAAAAATATTATTATTTCATTCAAACGAACAGGGCAGGGATCTAGCAGATCGTCCGAAACGGCCCCCTCCCCAGCGGTCGTATCGGGCTTCCAGCGGCGTCCAGGAGGCAGACACGCGATGGCCTTTGTACGTGCGCTGCTCCCATTGGTCCCGTTTGCATGTGCTTAAACCGACTTCCGTTTCTTTTTTTTATTTAAAATAGTGTTTTTCTCTTAAAAATTTCTCCAGCATTTTTTCAAACCATCTAAATTTGTACAGAATTACTCCGCGCGAACAGGCCCATTATTGCCCGACGCATACACACCGCGGCACGCGCGCGCGGGGCCGACCTGTGTACCTCCAACAGTCCATCGCACAGTCCCGCAGTGGCTGCGCACGTCGGCAACCTTCCCAGGTCGGCCAGGCGGCCAGGCCAGGGCTCAGGAGGGTTCACGCACGCCTCCCGGATACGCCTTGGTTCAGGGCTCGTTTGTTGCGTGACTCGGCGACCGACGCTCGGCTCCTAGCCTCCTGTTCGCCTGGACTACTGCCAGCAGCCGCGATCCGCCTCGGGTCGGTACGCGTCCAGAACTGCGGCTGCACCGCTGCAGGGAAAGCGACGGACGGGGGAGTCGGGAGCACCGGCCGGTGCACGCACGCTCAGGCTGATGCCCCGCCCGGTTTGGCCGCCGCTGCCATCTGCCAAGGATTTTACTCATAGATCCGACGCAAGTTGAGCCCGATGGTGCACGGGGGCGGGGCCCCGTGCGCATGTGCCATTGTCTAATCAGTCGCGCGCGTCCGCCGCACCGAACGCCCGACGGCGACGCGTGAATTTAAATTTGTTTTAGGGACGCCCTGCCAGCGCCGACCGACGGGTGGCCGGCCGGGGTGTTCTTTTTTTTTTTAAAATGAATTATAACTAAATAATCCGCTCGTGCGCCGCGACCCACTGGGCGGAGCACGGTGGTTCGGGCTCTGCAATTGGCGACAAAACAACCGGGGATCGGGGGATGTATGTAGTGAACACGTACACGTACACGTACCATGTCTATGCGACCGGTTCCTCGCACAGCAGCCGGGGACTACGGGGCACATGGACGGACGTCGCTGTCTCCCCGTGCGTTGATTGTGTTGAGCACGTAGTAAGCCGTTAGCAGCCTCCGTTCGTATTGACCTCGGGCTCTCAAGAGGAAAAAAAATCCCCAGATCGTACACGTGTTGGTAGAAACAAGGCTGGAGGTCCTCCGTCCTCGCGCGTGCACTTGGCAGTTCACGGGATCCGCATCGGCGTGCTCTGCCGTCCCAGTCGTAACCGAGCGACGGGGAATTGACAGTGATGTAGCTGGTGAGTGGTGACGACCACTGCGCTGGCATGTGGCGGGCGGGCTTGGCGGGGATACAGAACCGTGGCGTGCAACACCCGGCACCGGCACCGCACGCGCTTCGTCGCCAACGCGCATGCGATGCGAGTGCGAGCATCCTCTCCCCGCGGGCCGCGGATTCTCCCGTCCAGAGCCATACTGCTTCTGGGCTGGTTTCGCACCGCGTCAGCTAACAAATCGACGATCTATAGTTCTTCGTTGCCACTCAAGCTCAGGGCCACAGCCCACAAGTGCCTTGCAGGCTTCAACGTGTCCACTAGGCCCGAAAATATGGGCGTCTAGCCACGATGGGCGCAACCTATCTTTGGATAGGGACCAAACCAATTAATTAGTTTGAACCTCAAATTTGAAATACATTTTCCCCCAGGCCCGCGTCCTGCGCCCCTCGATGGCTCTTGGCGCTGCCGGTCAACCGGTCCCGTGCCCTGCGCCTTGACAGATCGACAGCGGCCTCCGTCCAGACGACGGTTCCGCGACTCCGTATATCGGCTCGATTCGATTGGTTGAAATTCGTTGAAAAACACTGTTTTGATTGAAATGTTGTGAGAGAAAAATACTGTTTCGGCTGAAAAAAAAGCCAGCCAGATTTAAGGTAAGCCGAACGGGACCAAGCTGAATTAGTTTTTAAGTATAGGTAGCGTGCCCGTGCGTTGCTACGGGACAACTAAATTTTTATACTAAAAACATATGTGATCGCACGATAAGATACCAATACTGTAAAATTAAATACCGACGTTAAAGTGACATTTAATTAAAAAACAAAGTTCGTGAAATGCCCGTGTGTTGCAACGGGAACAAAATAATGGCTTAATTTAATTTGGACATGTGTTGTTTTGTTACCAAAGAAAAAAAAACTTGTTGGCAGGCTATCTTCCATAAAAGAGTCGGTCCAACAACCATGCCACACAAGAAGCTACGCGGCGCAAACATTCTGTCCACGATGACGGACTGGGCACGCGTAGAGGACGCTCGATTGCCCTTGAGCGTTTGATCTCAAGGCCCGGTCCATCCATCATCGAACTCGCCTTGTGGACAAGCGCCTCCATTGACTTTCTTTTCTTCCATCCTTTTAACTCTTTCTCGCTTTTTTGCATCAACTCAGGCTATCAAATAGAGGTTTCGAAGTTCAAACCACTGCAAGCAGTGAAACTAAAGAAAAAAAAGCAAGTGTAAAATTAATAAATTATTTCTGTGTTGCATGAAAGTTCGTACACCGAGACCAGGTATGCACAATTATTGCAAATTAGTAGATACAAAGCAATAACACATTAAAGATATACAATTATGGCAAATTATTAGATACAAAGCAATAACACATTGAAGATGTAAGCATTGGTTATGTCTCCTGAAAGTTTGAATGACTAAGAATTGGCAAGGCAGGGTAGGAAATGATCAAATAATCAATAAAGAGAACTCACTATGAAGCTTTGACAAAAGACTCGAGTTACATATTTGGATTGACCCGTCTCATTACTTTCCACCCATCTCTTAGAGAGGTGCTCTTGAAATCTCCAATGTTCATCCGGGTACAGATGAGCGAGAGCTAGGACGCGTCACACAATCTGGCAAAAGGTGCTCTTGAAATCTCCAATGATCATCCGAGTACAGACGAGAGCCAGGACAGTTATCTGTAAATGGCGATGGCCCTTTTCAGAACATGGACAACTGTGTGTGAGTTTCAGCACAAACTTAATGATAGGCTTGCCAGAGTCAATATCGCCCAATTTTTTTTATCACATGGATGTACAGAGTACGATTGATATTAACAAGGCTAACCATACTCTCAGGTTTCACCTGAACCAGAGGCTGTTGGATTGTATCACAACCAATAATTGCAGATAAGCTTCAGCATACCATTTGGCTAATAGCATGCAGAGATAAAGAGTGCTAATCACATAGAATTTGGATCTTGATTGATTTAGCAGAGGATGCATGATACAGAGAGACTGAATACTTGATAAATTAGAAGTGTTTCTGAAATATGCCAACAGATAAGCGAAGTACTTCATCCAACAGAGTTTGAACCTTTTAGGCCTTTGGTTTTTGAGTATTACATATCAGTTGCTATTTTAGACACATAAATAATATTGCTCCCAATCAAGAGGAGTGAGCACTTGATTTGATGTAAATGGGTATCTGAAAGCCAAAGAAAAAAGAATATGACAGCAGTGTTGCCAAGAGAGAAAGATTAACATAACTGTAAAAGTGGAGATGTGGCAAATCAGTAAAACACTGGATAACAAATAAGCACAAAAGCTTACTGTTGCACTTTACAAGTCTCATAAAACTGTATTGCCATCTCTAAGATTA